GTGTAAATGCTAAATTAATACTTAATTAACATGCAAAAAGTCACAAGTTAATTATGTCTAGGTGATTAGTTAAACAATTCAATTTGTCATATCTTGAAATACCGCAGTAATGTCAAAACAGTAAATAAAGCAATAAACAACACCAAAATTGTTCACGGAGAAACCCAACGTGGGAAAAACTCTCGGCACTTTTCCAGTCAAAGATCCACTATAAACTGTCAATAAAACTTACAGACCACCAGTAAAGTTGACTACACAACCTTTCTGATCTCCTGTCTGAAGTATGAAGTAGCCCTCTTGGAATGTGCATACCAACACCAATCATGGCTCTTCTTTGTAAAGCAGTCCTCTTGGAATGAGCACACGAACTCCAATCCTGACTCTTTATGCAATTTATCTCCTGTAGATCTTCCCCAAGAACTCCTCGTTCTTCAAACTCTTCCTTAATCTTTAATGCAGCACAGTTGACGACACAATCTTGCAGCAAACCCAAGCGAAGAGACAAATTCAGTGTTTGATTTGATAATTTTGATGTTTTCAATGAAAGAGGCACATATGAGTGGAATGATTGAACTTTGATCTTGTGTAGGATGTTTTCTCTCTTGATAGTTGTATGTTCAATCTCTTATTCATAGAAAATACGATGTCTCAATATATAGGTTGGACGAAATAGGTTGTATGGGCCAAGTAAAAATCTCGGAAATAGAAAATTAGGTTTCCCAAAATAATATATCGCTCGAGTGAGGTGGCTTCTTCGCTCACTCGAGCGAAGTTGGTCAATTTATTCACAAAATCGCCATTACAAAATATAAACCTAACATTTACTAATTTTTTTTAACTCTCTTAATGAACAAATGAATGTGCATCAACATGATGTGCAATTTATGAATTGAATGAAATAATTCCAATCACATGGGGTCAATATATAGTGGACCAAAAGTTGTAAATCAAAAGATGCAACTAAATGAAATGGCATGTCTAAAAAGGCATGTCTTGTTGAAAAATACATGTATAAAGAGACATATCTTTACTACAAAAGAATGTGATTTTCGGAAGAAACAACATTTCATCTAAACAATTTTTGAATATTCCATAATATTCTATATTGTTGAGTTTTGATACCCAATGAATCTCGAGTGATGATGTGAACGTTGGATTAAATTGTTACCAGCAACAAAGTCCAAAGGCTCAACCCGAAAATAACGTGGGCCATTGGAAGTAACTTAAACAATTAATGTTGCTCATGGCCCATATATATTAACACTTGGATGGCTTCGAATCTTGGCCCATTTAACCTCTTTTACTGGTCCAACTAAAGCCTAACCTAGCCTATATATATGGTGTCTTTTCCCTAGTCGTTTTTTGTGTGATTTGATTGTTAGGAGGAGAATAATTGGCAGCTTTCTTGCAGAGTAAAACCAATGGATTTCTTTGTGTTTTCGCATCCATCTTGTGTTTCTTCCATTGTTTTTCTCGGGTCTTTGTGGTTTACAAATCATCGCCATTATCTTGTCATTTGTGAGTGAGATTGAGGAGAAACTGAGGTAAATTAATTGGTTGTGGGTTGGAGTCATTTGAATTTGTTGTTTGATAGAGAAAGGTAACGTAAAACTGAACCCAGAAAACACCATTTTGATTACCCTTGGAGTAAGCTTTCACGACGATTGGTATCAGAGTTTCAAGTTGGTGGATTTGGCTCCAAAAACTCTTTAGAAAACCAGCTAAAATGAAGCAAAAAAAAATCGCAAAACTGCCCAAAATTTGATGCTATTTTCCTGATTTCCAGCCAATCCAGAAGGAGTTTAGTGGAATGCAGGCCATATTTGAGACGTGAAGGTGGAGGCGCAGCTGGACGGACGGCGTGTGAGGTGTTCCGACGGCGCGTGGCAGCTTTGGCGCATGTGGCTATTTTCGACGATGACGTCTGGTAACAGTTTGTTGCTGACATTTTTTCTGACATTATGCTGTTATTAGCTTTCTGTTTCAAGTTATACGGTGAAGTTTGGACGAATGTGTTATTTAAGTGTTCAAGACTCGATCGTGGTTGATTGATTCCTAAGATTGTTGAAGACTTTAGGACGAATAGTGGTAATCCTAAAGTGATAAATTTGCATCTCTTAATATTTACGAACCTTCTAACGTGGTCCGCTTGGTATCTTGTTCTTTCCTTTTTGTTATTGTAGTTAAGATTATTGTGTAGTATAGTCATTTATTTTTCGTATTAGGAGTCATCGTGTGGGGTAACATTAGGTTTGGGTTACCATGAAGGGAAAACCATTGCCTGTTGCTAGACCTAGGAATTTCTTGTTAATTATTTGCTTTGAATTCTTTTTGAATTTGTCGTCAATTATTTTTCATTATTATAATTGCACGTGACCTTAGAAAAGTTTTTTGTTCAGCCATTCTATGTGAATTGTATCTGCAATTGCTTGTGGTCGTCGTTTGGTTGCATTTTGTGTTTTGTGTATTTTTTGGTAAAAATGACAACATGTTTTGAGTAGTGTCGTTTTAATGAAAAATGAAATTTTTTCAATTTGGCTTAACGAAAAACTTTTTCATAAAACTTTTGATGGCAAATATAGGTCTAAAGCAAATGCGAAAAGTATGATGTGTTTTAATTGCGATAAATTTGGATATGGTGAAATAGGTTGTCCCAGGAATGATAATAAAAATAAAGATAATGAGAGAGGTGAGACGAATATGGTTATAGGGTCGAGTGATGACCCTAGTGAGGTTTATTGAGTGTAAACCTAGTTACTACATGTGCATCCGTATGTAATATTTTCTGCATGTTTGTGATTGCTTAATTCTATTGTATGGTTATATGTCACATTTCAATATGTTTGATATGTACATTTGCATGAATTTGAGAGCAATTTGGTTACGTTGTGTAATGTGTTTTCATGTATAGTGGGTTGAAATCTATGGCGCACTCATTTTGCTCTGTGAGTGGTGTGAGAGAGTGTGGTAGTGAGAAAAAAGAGGGGCGGCCATTTTTTCCTTCATCTTTGTGAGTCTATATGGTTTGTGAGATTATGTAAGGCAAACATATGTGGGTTATCCTATTACTCTTTGTGAGCCTCTTTTGTGAGTGTACTGAAGTAAACAACTCTTTCTTCTATTCTTTTTGTGAGTGTCACCTTGACCCAATTCCTCTGTAGATTTTTTGAGCATTGGTGTTGGAGTAACCTTGTGGTACGTGAGTTGATTTAAATTGAGCTCTAATCTTTATGGTTGCCAAGTTGTTGATTTGTCATTGTAGGTTTGTGATGTATTAGTAGTGAGGATGTCTATTGGTAATGTGGAGTATAAATGCCTAGGGATATATTGGTGGTTTGTACCGGAGATGTGGAGTGTGACATTTGGATCACGAGTAGAGAGATGATTAAATATTGGAATCTTTTATCCCTAATCAAGTAGAGTGTGAGAGAGTTACTTCTATCACTTCTGTTAGGTAGAGACTCATTATCCACTTACGTTGTGAGAAGTAATATGGTTATAGAGGATTATCCCTTGAAGATTTGTGACCCAAGAGACATTTCTCATCATTTAAAATTCGATAGATAATATTTATCTAAAAAATTTAATTTCTTATAGTTATTGATATAAGATCAAAAGTTGAATAATCATTAAGAATGAGAAGAAGGCTCAACAACTTTATGACATGTTTATTATGATTAACTAGATTAAATAAATGAAAAGTTTACGACGTAGCTTTCTTTCTCGATCACATATAATTTAACGTACGAAAATACTCAAGTTGGATTCATTTAGATCAAGTATTAAGTGTGCCCTCTTCTCATTCATAGCTTATTTATCTTCCTAAGACTAATCCTAATAGAATCACATTATGATAGTGAAAACTAGGAAAAGTACCTCAATGAGTATTCTCAAAATTTTTGGTCGATTGGCTTGTATTTTAAGCTCTCGGAATCTCTCCATTCCTCTTAGTAACGTTTACATATATTCTGTATATATTCATGTATTTCTTGGGAAAAAAAACAATAAGAAGATTATATTAGGAACAAATTGTAGTACTTCTTGAGTAGTGCACATTATCTTAACAATTTCTTACTCATTAATCCTTTACTGGGATTGCCAGAATGCCATCTTTTTTTTTTTCTTTTGGAGATCATAATTGAAAAATGAAAATGAAAATTGTGTGAGAAAATTAGAAGAGAAATACAAGTATTTAACGTAAAAACCACTTCCCTATTAGTGTTTAAAATGAAAGTCATTGTGTCGAAAATGAAAGAAGGCTCTTTTAATTTACTTTTAGCTTTTCATTTTTTCTTTTTCTTTTTCTTTTTTTTTTTAATGACTAAGTAGGCCATTATTTTCGTCAGGTTGGACAATCGAACCCAACACAACCCGTTCATTAAAGCAGAAATCAAATTTTTTTTTTTTTTTTTAACTGCTATTTTCAGTCCATTGGCGACCAGCCCATCTTGTCAACACAGAGAGAACCAGGGACAGGAAGGCCAAGAAAGTCCTCAAGGAACTGTTTCTTTTTTTCCTTAATATAGATATACAAAATGGTCGAATGGGATCAAAAATTTCTAGGAACATTTCATTTCGGAGTAAACAATACAGAATCCTTGGGATATGAATGATATATGAACGAATCCCAGGTTGAGCTTTATTTCATAATAATCATCTCAACTTAAAAACAACTAAAACAAGAAGAGTATGATACATCCCTAAGCAAGTAATCGAGGGAAACTCTGAACTCATAATAACGGGCAAAGGTGCAAGTTCAGCTCCGAAATTGCCTCAAAATATTATTCCTATGGTGAAAAGCATTTAAAAGGATTTAATTTACCCATTATTTTACTACAACAACAAAGGGCATACTAGAAGCAGTAACTGATAATTTATGATGCTACAACAAGAATGCTCTTTCAAAGAGCAAACATCTACATAATACAATTCAGAGGAATAGGAAAGATACTGTCAATTAATTGCAGATGTGAGTTCCATCTTCCTTTTCATTCCTCCCTTCAATCTTTTATTGAGCATTTGCAGTTCTTTTGATGCTCCAGGAGTTCCTGCACCATTAAGATATGTATCAATCAACTGAATAGTACTAATCGAAGAAGAAAAATATAACTTTATTTGTCCTGATCAATGACTGCCATCACATATTTATTACTTCAAGCCACCTTTCTTACAGGAAAATTAATCACTTGAGAAAAGAATTATAAAATCAAACTATCTAATTTCATGTTCAGCGTGTGTTTCGGTTTTCTTCAATCACTCTCACGTTCATAAATCAATAACTAAAGGTGTTCTGTCGTTCAAAGCAGTCGACTTTACTGAAAGAAAAGAAGATCAAACAAGGAACACTGAAGGTAAAAATTTCGTCAACCAAGCAGAGTCTAGAGTTTGATTGTCCTTGCCTTGGCTAAGTTTAAGCCTTTGTTCGGGTTTCATTTTCTTTTCCTTAAATTTTACTTTTCAAAGTCATACATTAATTTTAACCATACATTTCGTAGGACCAACAAGTACAACTCACTTATCCACCACTCATTTTTTCAAAAGCAAAATTTCAGTAAAAGAAACGAGACCCAAACAAAGGCTAAAAGTTAATTTTCAAGTCAAGCAAGTTCTATTAGTTTAAAAAATAATTTTAAATAATGTTTGTAAAACAAGACAAAATTAATTTTTACTTCCTCTTAAGCATAGCAAAACATGCTTATAAAATATCATTCTTTGAGTTCTCGGTCTTCATGGTGGATCACCATTCCTATTTCCCTTATCAAATCACTTACCCTACTTATAAATTCTGTTCAATAAAATCAAGTCTGGTAAATAATTTTCATAATCAAACATATTTACAAGTTGGTTCAACTGTTTCTTTGATCTAAAGTTATGAATGCAGAACTTGATCACTTCAAGAAGCAAGATACTGTGATTCATCTGCGCATAAATAAAACATGAACCCAGTTTCATTACAAAAATTATATCATATACAAACATAGCAAGGTTGGATAACTGCAAGCTCTCTTTTCATTGCCACTTATAACATTCTCACTTCATAGGTTTTTCAATCTAGAATATGTCAGTAACATTTCTTTCACCTTATCATAAATAGAATGAGCTTCCAGACCCAAGTTGGATAACATCAGATGGAAAGACATAAAAAACATAATTTTCAAATTATTAAGGTCAACGCAAAGAACCTGGATCTGGTTTTGCAAGAACTTGACATACGCAACAGCTTCATCTAACATGTCAGCTGTGTTAGTTTGCTGCATAAACAAAAGCAAAAGTTTTCCATGTCAAAATTATGAAGCACATACACATATTCAACAATAGTGACAAAGCAAATCACCAAATAAATTGAAAATTAAAATGTATGCATGGGACAACTCATCATTAAGAGCCTAGAAAAAGAATGGGTTGCATTCATGACAAAAATTGTACATAACAGCTTTTGTCTGGCCAAAAAAATTTTAAAAGACCAAAAAAGGTCCAAGGATTCTTATCGTATGAGGTGGAGTTCCATCATTCCTAGCATAATTTCTTTCTTCAGTTGGAGATTATGGCATGATTTGATTATGGTCGATGTGGTCATTCAGTGGAGGATCGGTCGTCATTAGCTCTCCCATTGCCAATGTTGTTCGGAGATCGACACTAGTTTACACATTTTCACTGGCAGCACCATCACCATCTCTGATCAGGTGTGAAATCATTTTGATGATATCTTTAAGTACCGAAAAGATCAAATGAGGGAGTTCGACCTCAATTTTAGAGATGGAGGTATTCAGGTCAGTATGCTCGTAAATATCACATTCACACTATCGTTCCTCTATTGATTTTTTGGTTCTTATGGCTTGCGAGGAATGAGGTGAAGCATAATGAAACAAGCATCGATCCTAGAAGGATCATATGGAGAGTCTACCAAATTATTTCTCTTCTTCATATGGGTCGCTTATTACTTTCACTAGTGTGGTGACATGAAAATTACTTCTCATTTTGGCATTTTGTTCTATTCCTCCCCTGCTCTCCCTATTTTGGTTATTTAGCGACCTCACCGACAGGATTTTTACAAGATCAATACCAACGAATACGTCAAGGGTGGATTTGTTAGTGGTAGGGGCATAATTCAGGTCACGCTGGTCATTGCGTTAGAGCTTTCTCGTCATCTTACGGTGATTGCCCCATTCTGGAGGCTAAGCTACGAGCTACCTTGAATGGGATCTTGATTGCCGTATGGGTTTTTATTTTTTATGGCATTTGGGTGGAGGCCAATTCATCTTTGACTTTCATTGCGTCTCTAGGGGAGGCAGACATTGAGCGATTCAAATCGTTCTTAGACACATCAAACACAACCTCTCTATTGCTCGTGATACTGTCTCACATACTTTATTGCGGGAGAAACCAGGTTGTCGACTCTCTTGGATCTAAAGGATGGGATCAACACCATTACCAGGAGAATGGCAACCTTGAACTTTCACAATGACTTCGAGCTCTTGCACAGATAGATAGATAGATAGATAGATATGAATTTCCTAGCATTAGAGAACGTTAGTTTGATTTTCATTTGCTTGCATTGTATTAAAAGTAGTACTTCCCCTCTTATTTTATCACTTCATATGTTGCACCTTTTTGCTATTAGAAAGTCAGGTTTACGCCCCCTTCCATGTGTTCTCGAGGTAATTATTTATATATAAGGGTCGGGCAGCCAAACCCCCATCAGTATTCATTGGTGGCACCTGAAAAGTGAAAATACACTAAAATTGTGTTGATGTTTTACTTTTAAAAAAAGTATCAAGACTATTGCAATACAATGCATCTCTTTAAAAAGAATATTAAGAAATATCATGTTAAACTTGAAAGGCTACTTCCATATTCCTGTGAAATTGCAAACAGCCAATGAGTAAGTATATGTAGAAACCATCAATATAACCACAAGCAAAAGCGCCAAGACAATTATCATCACTCCGATCACCCCCCACTTCCTCCCCCTATCACCAAAGCAAAAGCGCCAAAACAATTATCGTCACAATAATAGAATTGTAAAACTTAAACAAGCATAGATATTTTAGCGTGCAAAGGTGAATATAAATCATATAGTAACTCTTAACAGAAATATATCAGAAACTAAACTGCATATCATAAATATCCTATTTCATGTCTCACATCCCCCCTTCTGCTATATATATAGATGATACCTGCTTGTTATGTCTAGGAGTTAGATGTGATCTCCAAAACATAGGTCTATGAATCCTTACATTTAGTATGAATGCTTTATGCAGTTACTCTGGAAGTGATCAAAAGCTAGATTTCTACGAGAACAAGGCCACACCAGAATGCAATTATAGCATTATAAGATGGCCCTGGCTCATATTTTAAGTTTCCAGCACACAGGGGGGGGGGGGGGGGGATGCAAGCAAAAAACACTAATGGTTTCTCTACAATTTTGGAATTCCAAGCAGACTTCTCACATACATATAGTCCAGTTTTATATCATTAATTATTCATATATTTTACAGTGTCCTTATCACTAATGGTTTCTCTGCAATTTCAGGGTCCTCTAATTAGGATTAGCATGTAGATTTATTAATAGTCGATCCATGATGAAGAAGGAAGTTCTCAATTAGTGCATTTCAAAATCCTTTGCAGTCATTATGATAATACATTTAAGATTGATCTAATATCTCAATCTATAAGTACTAGTAGTTGATCAAATCTTTTATCTGCAACTGTACAACTTCTAATGTTGAGATTCCATTAACATCATTCTAAAAAGTTTAGGCCTTAGATTCTCCGGTTTCTTTCATAAGTAATCTTATTTGTTATGATTACTGCTGCCAAGAAACGTCTAGTTTAAATTACTAGTTTACATCAGATATTCTACGTAGGAAAAGGGAAAGATTATCGGTCAATTGAAACTTTCAATAGCTTTGCTTTGCATGATTTTTGACAGATCAGATGTGGCAAAATATTTTCGAGAATGTAAATATCAATATATCATCAAAGAAAAACAAACAACCCATCACCAGTACTAGATTTATTTTACCTCCAAGATTTATTGATAATTTCAAATCAAAATGGAATACAAGAAGATTCCATAATCAATTTACCTTATCCATATTGGGAACAAGTTCTTGAAGCTTCCTTATGCGGTCACTAATTCGTGTTCTCCGTACCTGATTGCCAAAGGAAAAAAGAAGCCTTGAGCATATTTCAGCTTGAAGAATCAATTGATAATGTAGCTAACAACCAAAAAGGAAAAACATTATACCCTCTCCGCAATGCTACGAGGATGGGTAGCACAGCCACGCTTTGCTCGAGTCCTACACATGACTGCGTCCTCCAAAAGCTTTTCTGTTTCAGCATCGAATGACCCACTCAGTCCACTGTGTAAAAGCACACCTTTCTCTCCTCTCTACGCATACCCAAAAAAAAAAAAAAGAAGTTCAATTAAATGCACATACTATCTATCATGAACGCACGAAAAAAAACCAAAGCAATCGTTGTCGATCAAACAAGTTCATAATTTTCATCAAGATGTTATACATACCTATGAACATGTGCAAAATCCTAGTTGGAGTTATAGAAAACCATAAGTCATTTACACATGACAACAACTTCGCCAGGCATCACGATTTCAGATCCACGCGATTGGAAGAAAAAAATGTAAATATGGATTATATTCCTTCTTTTCATGTTTACACATATCCGTACAATGGTGAAACTTCAAAAATCCCCTCCATGAGGATTCTGTTTAAATGAAAAAAGACTATTATAAAGAATCCCCTCCATGAGGATTCTGTTTATATATTTTGGTCAATTGACTTTTTTTAAGTTAATAAATTATAAAGAATGACCTCCATATCAAAGGTCAATTTAAACTTAGGAATTTCCATTTTTGACTACTCTTTTTCTAGAGTATCAGTATTAATTAAGCATGTGGCTTCATTCTGCAGCGTGGGCATATCTGACTGAAATGACTGAGTTTAATAGATTGGATATCTCGTAAGACATAAAGGTCAAGTCAATAGCATGTCCCACAAGATTGGAAGTGAAAAACGAGACCACCATGATGTTAAACGGAGAAAAGCCTGGATTTGCAGAGCAAAGAGTAAGAACTAGCATTTTTCATCACTAATCTAGAAAGGTGTTACTGGATTTTTATTGTTGAATTTCGAAGAGTGGCCTCTTTCCACAAAGTTTGGAGAGAGGCTTTTTTCTTTTTTCTTTTTTTATTTTTTTATTTTGTCTCTCCATTTTATTCCTTGTGAGGTAAAAATATCATAGTTTTTCGATACAGACTGAGGGTCACGTGTACATTGCAGCAATGTGTGCTATCTGCCATGGTTCCCCCCAACTTCCCTGATTTGCTTTGTAACCTTCTAGCTTTATCAGCATGTTCGGCGGTGCTCAAGAACCGGTTTTTAACTGCTTTTTTCAGCTTTGAAACGCCGCCAAACATCATCTATGTTAATTACTCGAAAAGCTTCAGACTCCTCCATCCCTTCAAAATCACAGGGGAAGCGGGAAGTGCGAATTTATACTTCCATATGAATCCGAAAGGTTTAAAATGAACATAATAAAAAAGCAAGTTTAGAGTAAACATCAAATGTTTGAAATTTCGATTTTTTTTTTCATTCATAATATTACTTCAAAACTTACAAATAAATGTGGCAAAAAAAAGTGAAAACAAAAATTTAACAAACGATATGATGTAACAGTATAGCAGTTACCTGCTGAGAAGAAGAAGAAGAGGAAGATAACTTGGGTGTACTCTTGTCTGCATCCTCAGCCTCAAGAGCCCACTTCCCCGAAGAAACATTTACTGAGGAAGGCGATGTATAATCCGGAATCCCAAAACTTGAAAAGTAGCCATCGGAATTAATTTGGGATAAAAACTCCGCCGGAGAACTGTTTTGCCTCAGAAAATTGCTTAACCCATGGGACGGCCCACCACTTAGGGTTTCCAATAAGCTTAGATCGGTGTCGAAACGGCTAGTGGCGGTGGCATTGCTAGTGGCGGAGTGAGGTGGAACTGGTGGTGGTTTGGAGGATGACAATAAAGGTGGGTCTAAAACAACCTCAGAAGGTTCTTCGTCAGATTCGAGTAAAGCTTCTAACCAGGTCGCCGGAGCTGAGCGGAACCGGGCGAGTCCACCGCCACCGCTTCGACTCAGTTCACTGCTCCCACCACCACTTGCCGGTTGCATCTGGTGAATTAATTTCCTTTTTTTTTTTCCTTATTTTAATAAAATTTCTTTCGAATTTTCAATTTTTTTTTGTTTTTCAGGAGATTTCTTGTTGCAGTCCAAGAATCTACTGAGAGGACTAGAGGAGTTCTTCTCACCTTTTCTCTCTTGGAAAAACTTCATTCGAGGTTATCTAATTTATGTGTTCATTACAATTTGGTCATTTAACTTTAATTTACTTCAATTTTATCATCTTATTAATATTTTTGTTCAATTGACCATTCGGTCTTTAACAGTTATGAAAATCGATAGAATTTGTAACCTTGAGTTGATCCTTAGACCCCTCTGTAAATTGCATGTTGCGTCTTGAATTTGTTTCAATTTCATCATTCACCTGAGATTTTGTTTTTTAACTAAACTATTTGGTCTGTAATCATTACAAAAAATGATAGAATCCATAACCTTGTCCACATAATTCATGACATAACTTATGCATCCGTTCATTTCTCATTTTTCATTCATAAAAATGAAAAATATGATCGTTATTCATCACATCAAGTCATCAATTTTGAATTTTTATCTCTTATGTGAGGTTCAATAATAAATATATTTTTCATTCTCATTCTACAATTATGAGAATCAAACAGACCCATATTTTGACATTACAATATTTTTGGAGAGGTAAAGAATACCAATTCTACGGGTTTTTTTTGTTTTGTCTTAATAACATTACACATTAATGATATATACATAAATATCTTACCCGTTTGTTAACTAAGTTATAAATTTTACTTAATCCAATCATGAGTTATGTTGGTCGTGTTACAAATCCAGCCATATTTAGCCACCTCACATGAACAATTAATTGAAGAAAATGGTAAATAAAACAAAGATTCAAGCTAGCCAAAGCATAGGGTAAGGTTTATAAACAGGATAGCTAATTGAAATAAAATGTAAGTTAGGTGATTAAAGTACATAAATAGAAGTAATTTGAAGTGACCATTTTGAAACAAACTTGTAAGTTGAGTGACCTATAGTGAAAGCATGATATGTCTTGCTTCTAGTACTTTAACAGAAAGGGATTGGACTGAATAATTATATATTAAAATGTCAACAAATTTTGTCAACCTATTTTGTACACATAACATGATTCATATTATAATTTATAACGTTAAATTTCATGTGTCAAATTGTACCAAATCATTTTATTCCAATTATGGGGTGTGTGTATTGAGATTTCCTCAACTCCGTACTCGGTACTAATTTATAGCAAAATAATAGTGCACGCTCCAATTTCTAAAGCCAACATGGCACATGTTAGGGTCATATCGTTTTAACTTCAGGAAAAAGAAATTTTGCATTTTCTTATTTTGTGAATAATAGGCGTCCCAGTACGATTTGGGTAAGCTACGACCCCTATAATCGAGTTCAATATGGTATTTTAAATGATGATCGTCTGAATTTGGACAATTTTCTTGATCTTTACAGCTTTTGAACGATTTAGTCATCTCGAATCTAACTATTGGTTAGTCCAACTCAGTCTTTGCTTCTTTTTCTTTTTTGAGAATATATTTAACATGACGTTAAATGCTTTAAACGTCTGTTTGTATCTATGTAAAATCCTCCTCAATCGGCCTGACTCGAATTTAGTCTTTTCTTTCAAATAGAATAACGCAATCTATCTCATTTTATACCTATATATGTATCTGCACATAATTTCTCTCTTGATCTCATCGTTCACCTAACCAATTGTGTGGAAACTTCATGAGTTTGCCTTTCATGGAAAGAAAAAGAAAAAAGGGGACATGCCCATAAATGGCGTATGAAAGGTGAGCCACAAATTAAGTTGGACTACTTTTCTTAGAATAAATCTGCTTGGCCAGGGGCACATGTGCCCTGGCATCAGGAGACGCCACATGGTGCCCTCCTATTGGTGGGGGTCTGTGGGGACATGGCGCCCCCAGCAGATCTCCTTTTCTTAGCCCACTTTCATTGTGTGCATGCTTTGGGACCACGTTTATTTTAGTTTTGTGAATGAAATTTTTGGTGCGTGTAAAATATTTCAAGCTTTGAAATTATTTTTCAATGAATCATTGTTTTGGTCCCTGTTCGCGTGAAACCCGCAAGCGTACGGGATCGTTATACAAGTAATAAGATTTGTGAGTTAAGAGTATCGTTCCCACGAGGAATAAGGTCTAATTTGTAGTTCAATAGCTACGATTAAATTCGAAATATGATGACATCAAAGGAGTTGTGATTTATTTATTATTTATTCCAATTCTACTCTAGAAAAGCAAATAAATATGATGTTTTATTTATGTGAATGTTTGTATTGGATTCATGTATCCCCCTATTTCCATCTATTTCAATTCTCAATAATTAATCTACTCAATTTATGCATTTTTGACAATCGATAAAGCTAATATGTTAAATGTTCTTTCCCAAGATACACCAACCTATGACTAACACGAGACGATCCTATTCCTAGTCCGAATTCATATGAAAGTCATGCATTTGGTTTAGATTATCAATAAGATTGCATGTGTGAAAGAGATTATTCCTAATTCTAACTACACATGTCAATTTTACAGCGTTCTAAACTTATTGTGAGTATTCCTACACTACAATAAGCAACTAACTACTTAATTGGTGATCAAGCAATAAGTAGTGCGATGAGTATGTAAAATCAATCAAATAATAACACAAAAATCCTAAATTGATATCTTGAATTAAAATGAATGAAAATAGGGTTCAAACATTCATCCAATACAAATAAACTTAGCCTAGCATCGTGTTATGTAAATCACAAAATAAGATTTGGAAAAACATCACCCGGAATGAAAAATAATGAATGAAAAGTGAAAACTCAATTTCTTCCTTGTATTTCTTCAATCCGGATTTTGAATCTTCAATATCTTGTGATAATTGCCTTTGAATCTTGTGCTAAACCCTTTCTTTTGGTGAAAAATTGGATTTGATATACTCTGGGTCGTTCCACGCCGTTCCTCCTCCAAGAAAGTAGGTTAAAATTGGTTTTTATGGAAATTTGGAAAAAACCAGAAAATTGGGCCGTTTAGGCCCAGAAATGGCCTGTGCGCGCGCGCGCCGTATATGTCCTTGCCCGCGTGCCGTGTAAATGTTTCACTCTCGGTAAATAAAAGATAAGTCCGTGCGCGCGCGAGAGATTATGCATGTGCGCGTGCGCAGGCATAAAATCTTCCAATTGTTGCACTTTGGTCCCCGAATTGCATTCTTTATTTATTTCGGTTCTTTCTTTGTATTTTCTTGACCCTACATCTTCCAATTTCATGTAATTGACTCCAACATCTCTCCAATCATCGATACGAGGTCCGAATCATCTATTAACACTTTGCGATTTAGTCCCCAAACTTTGGATTTCGCCCTTTTTTGACACATTTTGCTTCTTTTCTTCAATTCTTCATTAAACATTGAATTTTATCTACAAGATGAAATATAATACAATTTAGGTCATATTTTGTCAAAAGAACAATAAAATTCTAAAGTTTCAAGCCCTGAATAAGTGTAAAAAATACACTTATCAGTCCCGTGAAGTTAATTTTTGCAAAAATTATAACCTCAGCGTTAATGTATGAAAATAGACGTGAAATTGTATGAAAAGATAATCTTTTTTCTCTCTCTTTTTTTCTTGTATGTATTTTTGAATAATATTATTCGACAGTGTTAGTGTCAAACATCAGTTTAAGTGAGAATTATATGGTATTAAATAATATATTCACTTAAAAATGAATGTTATATGATTAATTTATTTGAATCTATCAAGTTTAACCACCTAAGCTGATGCTATATAGTATTATTCTTTATTTTTCATTATTTGAACGTGAAAAGAAAATTCTATTTTCTTGTAATTTATGTCATTTTGTCCAATGTCCATCCAAAAAATGAGATTGTCTTTTTTCTTTTTCTCTTGTAATATGGGAGTTTGAATTGTATGCTCATTCTTAACGTGTTTGGCTACACAACCTGTTTAACTTGAAATTTTTATTAATTTTTAATCTACACTAAACATGGACTCAAGACGAAAAACATTGTATTTTTCTTTTCTTTTGGCATTTTTATTATTTTTTTTTTTTTCGCTTCTTCATTTTTGTTTTAAATTGAAGTAGGGGTCTAATAGACTTTCTGTACAAACCCAAACTTGTAGCTTCATATAGACACGTAATCCATGTTTGATTCCCATCATTTCAAAAATTTATTTTTTCTTAAATTTATTTTTAATCATACATTCTCACAATAAAATATTTTACACGTAAATTTTTTTTTTTTTTTATTTTTACTTTTTTATCACGTATTCTCCAAAAAATTTAACAATTACAAAACTTATTTTGATAAATAATGTACATCAAATAGGGGCATAGTATACCCACCGTAACTGAAAAGAAAATAAAATAAACAAAAGACTATCAAATTTCATCCTAAGGACCTGTATTTTCAAAACATTCAAATCCAGCCCCATTTTCCTGTTACTACATTTTCATTTTCACCCTCGTCTCCCCATTCGTATACAGATAGGTCCAACCACAAACAGAACTGATCTTCCAAATACCTCTGCAACATCCCCACTTCAGTTTCTCCAACTTCACAGCACAATATCGTCGTCTTCCGACGACGTAATCGGATACATTTTTTTAAACAGCAAATAAAAGGACACACGGCACAGAGCTGAGGGAGGGAAAAAAAGGCTGCAGAAAATTAAAAATAAATATCTCCCGACGGTTAATTGAAGAAGTGAAGAAAATTGCGATGAATGAGCTAGAAATTGGGAGGTTGGAATATACGTATTTGTTTTGGAATAAAACCATTTGTACAGAAATGATGTTCCAGAATTTCTACAGAAATCTCACATTTGCGCTTGGAACATTTCTGTATTAATGTTAACAGGTTTTCATGGGATGCTAGTAGGGGAGGTCGGGAATGGGCTACGTTTAGGAAAATGCTTCTTGAACATTACTATTAATAAAAAAATTTATAGATTGGTGAGA